GGGAGACAATTTTAGCCTTTCACATTTTACTCTTAAGCTTTTCTTTCCTTTCTTTGTCCTTCTTTCTTTCTTTGTCCTTCTTTCTTTTCAGCTTTGAGATATAATTGACAAATGAAATTGTAATATATTTAAAGATTCGATAAACATATATGTTGTGAAAGAATTCCTACCATCTAGTTAACACATTTATTACCTCGTATAATCAGCCAGATAGTCACCATGCTTTACTTTAGATCTGTAAAACTGATTCCGCTACAGCTGAAAATTTGTATCCTTTTGCCAACCTCTATTTCCTTTACCTCTGTCCCACCCCACTCCCTGCCAGCCACTTGTCTGCTGTTTCTTATATGTTTGACTTATATGTGGAATATTTTTTTAAACTGATATCATGTGTTATTTGTCTTTCTCTGTCTTATTTCATTTATCATCATGCCCTCAAGGTCCATCCATGGCTCTTAAGCTTTTTTAGGCAAGACCAAAGCAGTGTTTTGTCTAGAGTCAATTATTTATTATTACCGAGGCAGACTTTTTCAGTACTCTACTCAGTGCCCCATGAATTTTGAGATTTTTTTCCAGTCTGGCTTGTAGGAATATTACTCTAATTCTTTCAGGTGGTTCTTTTCTCAGCCTCCAACAATTTCATCACATGCATGTGAGTAGTGAGCTGAATACGCGAGGAGGACCCTCGTCAGCCCTCTCTCTTGGAACATTCTCCTCTCCAGCACTCTATCCAGCAAAGTTGAACTGCCTTGGTCTCCCCAGACTCTGCTCTGTTTTCTCCACCCAGGGAGTCTACTGGGCTCTGTCTGGGTTCCCTCTCCCTGTGCCGTGGCCTGAAACTCACGGCAGTAAACCAGGACAGTTGTAGGGCTCCCCTCATACCCCTCCTCCCCAACCTCTTTAGGTCACTGTGCTTACTTGCCTGATGTCCAAGTCTTGGAAACCACTGTGATACATACTTTACTTTTTTAGTTTTATCAGGTGGGAGGGTAAATCTGGTTCGTGTTGCTTATGTTGTTCAGAGGCCAAGTTCCTATAAGAGCATTTTTTCCCCCAAGTAACTGACAACACAGTGCAATATCATGGAAAACAATTGCCAAGTGAAATCACTAATCATGCAAAAAAAAAAAGCCCTGGCAACTGTGATCTTGGGGGAGATGCTCAAAGAATACACAAATTTGTTGATAACATTTGTTAGGCCAGATAAAAATATGCTATATGTATTTATTGATGGAAGGATTATATCAGATCACAGAATGTACGTCAGTGGCTCTGAAAAAAATGGTTATTACACGGTACCAGTACTTACTATTAACTTCCAGTAGACCCCAACCTACCATGAGTCTTATCTCCATAAATCAAATTTTCCAGGACCTGATAGTCTCTGGATTAATCATACTCCAAGTTTTTTTTTCTTTATTTTTACCTTTTGACTCCCTTCATGCATTACCGCCTCCTCCCAGCCTCTGGCGACCACCAGTCTCTTCTCCATATCTGTGAGCTTGAGGTTGGGTTTCTGTTTTGTGGGTTTTTTTTTTAGATCGCACATAAGAGAGATCATAGGGTATTTGTCTCGTCTGACTTCACTTAACGTAATGCCCTCAAAGTCCATCCATGTTGTTGCAAATGCTATGATTTCCTTCTCTTTATGGCTGAATGATATTCCATTGTGTGTGTGTGTGTGTGTGTGTGTATGTATATGTGTGTATATGTATATATATATATAGCTGCCAGATTTCTTTGTTCACCCGCTGATGAACATGTCGGTGGTTTTCATACCTTGGCTATTGTAAATAATGTTTCAGTGAATGTGGGGCTGCATATCTTGTCGAGTTGGAGTTTTCCCTTGCTTGGGATAAATGCCCAGATGTGGACTGCTGCATCATATGGTAGTTCTGTTTGTTTTTTGAGGAAACTCCGTGCTGTTCTCCATAGTGGCTGCGCCAATTTACATTCCCACCAACAGTGCACAAGCGTACCCTTTTTCCCCACATTCTTGCCAACACTTGTCTTTTTGTTGATAGCCATTCGGACAGGTGTGAGATGATTGCTCATTGTGGTTTTTATTTGCATCTCCCTGATGCCAAAGAGCATTTTGAAGCACACAGAAATACAAAAAGTTACTTCCTCATCGTGGCTACCTGGTTTGCACACCTGGTTTAGTCTCTTTGGGTCTTGGTTTCCTTATTTCTAAAATGAAAGTGTTGGACTATGTATTAGTCAGGGTTCTCCAGAGAAACAACCAGTAGATTATCGATCTGTAAAAATTCAGGAAGTTATGTATTATAACATATTGGTTCACGTGATTAAGGATGCTGAGAGGTCCCATGATCTGCCATGTGCAAGTTGGAGACTGAGGAGAGCTGGTGGTGTAGTTCAGAGGCTTGAGAGCCAGAGAGCCAATGGTGTAGCTTCCAGTCTGAGTCTAAAGGCCTGAGAAGCAGGAGTGCTGAGGGCCGGAGAAGATTGATGTCCCGGCTCATGCAGTCAGGCAGAGAACAAGTTCAACCTTCCTCTGCCTTTTTGTTCTATTCAGACCCTTGACAGATTGGATGATGGCCCCTCCCACCTCCAACGCTGGGGAGGGCAATTTACATTACTCAGCCCAACTGACTCAGTCCAACGCTCATCTCTCCAGAAACCCCCTCTGCAGATGCACTAAGAAATAATGTTTAATCACATGTCTAGTCATCTCATGACTTGGTCAATTTGACACCTAAAGCTAACCGTCACAGAGCAGAAGTCAGATGCACTGCATTCTAGTTCTAAATGTTTTGGGATTCATGAAGTCATTATACTGTGTAGTCAGGTTAGAGCCTAGGAATCACTCTAACCTGAAGTGCCTCATCGTCTGTGGGGAGAACTTTATAACTCTGCATCCCTTCCTATCATCACTTCTCTTCCCTTCATCTATTCAGTCATCTAACTATTCAGTCATCTCATAAGTATTGAGTACCTGCTGTGTGCCAGACGCTACGGTAGGCACTGGGGATACAGCAACAGACTGATTGACAAGGGGATTACATTCTAGAGGATGCTTACTGAGCACTTACTAGAGGCCTGCTGGGCCCTGTACAGAGCCCCTTACCTATGGTAGCTTACATAATTTTCACAACAAGCCTGTGAAGTAGGAACAGTCTTATATAGACAAGGAAAACAGATCACAGAACCACTAAGTGATGAAGCAGGGAGGTGAAACCATACAGCTTGACTCCAGATGTCCTGCGTTTATTATCTGTGCCAAAGATCCCGAAAGGTGGCCAGCAGACAAAACTCAGCTTACATTTGGATTCGCTTTGACTCTCTGATACTTCGAAAAAAATTAAATTAGCATTTCCTGAACTCTGTAGTTTGCCTCAGTCTCTAGTATTTCCTATTCTTTTGTACCCAACCTGCTTCTTTCACTCACCTCCCGGGAGACATTTTGATTTTGATTTCTGCATACGTCTGTCCTGCCTCCTTTTTGGGGTAATTCTGCACATTCTCCTCATTTCTCAGCTCTACTAGCGATACCTTGGGAAACCTCTTTAGCACAAACATGTCTCTCTCTTTTATTCCTTTGTTCTTTCCCATTTCTCTTTGACTGCCTGTCAGATTACCTCAGTTTCTTTAAAAATTGTCCTTTTTTCTTCTGTTTTGAGCCCTATTCCACTGGCTGTGACTGTGGCTGATGACCCCTCAGATTATTGGCAATAATGCTACAGCATTAAGAACAAAGAAGGAAGTAAAAATGGACGTAATAAAAAGCCAATTCCCTAAATGTCTCAAGCCTCTGAAAGTCCAATATTTTTTCAGATCTCAAAGCTAAACAAACAGGAATGAAGCTGACCACTTGCTTAGGTTTTCTTCTCTATTAAAATCATATTATCTCTGGGCTCGCCTGGGAAGCAAACTGTCGTTGATAAAGTTTTTACGAAAATCCATTTCAAATTCCAAACAACTGACTGACTGTAGTGTTGAAACAATCCATTTGTCTTTCTGTGCAAAGCACTTCAGAGTTTGAACCTTCTCTCTGACTGAACTCTGAATTCCCTGACACCTTCTACATGATACTCTGAAATCTCTATGTAAATCACAAATGGAGGTCTTTCGGTTAGAAATTCTTATTTTTACTTACTGTATCCCTCCTCTATCTTACTGTTTCTGTAACAGGTATCTCACTGATGTGTCCGTGCCCAGTAGCTTATTAATTCTATTTCTGAGCCATTGTGCTTCCATTCTGAGCACTGTACCTAGTACATTAGGTTAAGCAAGATAACCCAGATCAATTTCTCGGGCTGTCAGTGGTTTTTTGTTTTTTTAACATTTGAAATAGCCACTAACTACAAGTAGCTAGTCCAGATGATGATGTGTCATAAGTTAGAACGCGCACTGGATTACAAAAACATAATACCAAGAAAAAGGTAAAATCTCTAATAATTTTATATTGATTACATGTTGAAATGATAACTTTTAATATACTGGGTTAAATAAGAGCATTATTAAAATGGAAAAAATGGAACACGATGAACAGATATTTTTAGCTCAAAGCAAAGGAGATGAATTCTTGACGTAGTGTATAGAATTTTGAAACTTGACAAAGCTGAGGGGTGTTGTGTTACACAGTAAAACAGTAAGAAACAGGAGAGGAGAAATTTAGTTCTTTGAACAGAAAACTTTTAAATTCAATCTTTTGAGTTATAATGCCAGTAGGAGAGAAGAAAGAACAAACACGTACTGAGTCCCTCTTTTGTGTTCTTGGTGCTGGGAAAGCAATGAGGCTCTGGGAAGGTGTGTTCACAGCACACTCGCCTTTCAAGAGGTGAGAGTTGGCAACCTTTTCTGGGGTTACCAGTTATAAAGAGTGCCTACTGTGGCTAGATACTGTTTTATGGTATTCGGCTCTTTTTTTCCTCCATGTTTTTTTCTCCTTCCGTCACACAAACTGAGAGTCTATTCCGTGGTCCTTAGGAGGTATAAGGCAGGCTGGAAAGTGAAGGTGACTTAGAAGTCTTTCTAGCTTTTGTTTGCCAAAAGTCTGATTCCGGGGGGTCTGAGAAGAGTTAAGAGGGAGAAGAGGATTTGCTGATACGAAGAGGATATCTTGGAGTCGGTTAGCTTAGAGATTCACTGTCACACTGGAGAAAGGCTACTCTCTCGGAGTGGGAGTGAGAGAAGAGAGGACGGTGGGTCCAGGCACTGCAGGAACAAAGCCCTGGGAAATACCTTGGGGGCAGCAGGACTCCAGAGGGGTGTATTTAGGCAAAAGGGCCACGGGCACCCTTGTCAAAAAATTCTGTGCCGCAAGCGTGGGACACAAGCGGCAGAGACCACCAGACCGTGGCCCCAGGTGGGCCTGGACAGTAGGTGTCTCACTCCCACTCTAGATTTTGCTGGAATCCAGAATGAAGGCACATCACAGGTTAGAGAAGGAGCCCTAAGGTTACATTTCCTCCTGGTATAGTGGAATGTGGGCTTCATTCAGAAATGAATTCAAATCAGAAACCATAAAGCCAATGATGTCTATTTTACAATCCGTTCACAGACAGGAGAGTCACCCCCTACTGCAGCAGTGATGAAAAAAGCTTGGGGCTATGAACGCCTCTTCTCTCTTGTAGATTTTCTCTGTAGATTCCCTTCTCAGTATATAAGCATGTAGGGTCCCAGGGTAAGAAGATGAAATTGTCTTTTCCATGGATGCTGTGAGTTGTACCTCTAGAAACCTGGAATTTCCTATTCTTCACAATCTACTCTTGGCAGGAAATCTGGTAGCCCTTCAGAATGGGCTGGGGAGCTGCATCCTGAAGGGGTGATGGCCACTGAACTAGAATCTCACTCATTTTACTGCCTGTAAATGACAGTAAGGGACATTTTCCCTTTTTATAAGATAGGATTTTACCTATCAAAAAATCAAGGCCGTTAAAAAATAAGAAACCTGGGCTTCCCTGGTGGCGCAGTGGTTGAGAGTCCGCCTGCCGATGCAGGGGACACGCGTTCGTGCCCCGGTCCGGGAAGATCCCACATGCCGCGGAGCGGCTGGGCCCGTGAGCCATGGCCGCTGAGCCTGCGCGTCCGGAGCCTGTGCTGTGCAACGGGAGAGGCCACAATGATGAGAGGCAAGCAAACAAAAAAAAAAAAAAAAAAAAAAAAAAAAGAAACCTTTACTGGGAAAGACTCTTACTTAGCAAGAAATTCAAGCCCCACCCCCAGCACAGCTGATCAAGCCGCCTAAGGTAGAAATTCCCTCCAAGTGGGAAAATGTCACGTCGATGCTTTGAACTGAGGTTGGGGACATTCTTACCCACATTTCCCACCACCTAGAGTATTCTGTGTTCTGCGTCTCTCTCTCAACCTTCCTTCCCTGGTCTAAGTCCAGTGGAGAAAAAAACCCATTGCTCCTCTTTAATACATACTGCTCTTTCTACTAGGAAGGAAGAGAAGCAATAACGACAAGTATAGGATCACACAGCAGTGAAGACCAAGGTATAGGATCAATGTCCATACCTTGGGATGTCAGGGAATAGGGGAGATAGGAAAGCCAAGGGGCAGACAGTGGAAGAGCTTCCATTCCTTGCCTGTGTATAGAACAACAGACGGAATTTGTTAATGATAGATTGCTCAATTATTTAATTGCCTTTAACCAATGTAATGCCTCTGGTGCTACAGAGAATTTAGATATGGTCATTGGCCTCTTCGGTCACTACATCCACACAACAAGTTCAGGGATCGGGGTCTGAGTCCTTGTTTTTCCCAGGCTGTGCAGGTGCTGCTGGGGCAGACACTCAGTGAACATCTGTGACTGCCACCACCCAGAGTGGCCAGAGAAGATGCTGGGAACCACTCGTATCCCCATCACCAGGACAGCAGTAGTCACTGCAGCATCGAAACCCAAATGACATGCTGGTGATAGGGTAGCGAACCATCACTAATCAGCGATAGAACCACGATCCACTAGAGTATGAGTCCTTGGAGATGGTCTAGTACCACCCCTTGATTCTGTTGACAAGGAAAGGGGGACCAAATGAGGTCAAACGACCAGTCCACAGTCCTCTCGCTGGTGATTGGAAGAATTGAGGACCCACAATCTTCTGATATCCAGACATGTGTTCTTACTCTTCAATTAGTAACTTGAATGATGAGAGCCGCTCAAGCAGGGGCCACACATGTAGCAGAAACAAGCAAATTAAGCCTAGTGGTGAACAATCAGAAGTAATAGGCCTGACTGGGGAGGGGGTGTCTGCCTTGCCTAAGGCTTTCAAATTTTTCTCCTGTGTTGGTTTTCTATAACAAACTGCTACAGACTTAGTGGCTTAAAACAATATAGATTTATTATCTAAAGGTCAGAAGTCTGAAATGGGTCTCGCTGAGCTAAAATCTGCATGTTATCAGGGCTGTGTCCCTTGTGGAGCCTCTAGGAGAGAATTTGTTTTCAGTTTCTAGGGGCCACCTGTATTCCTTGGCCCATGGCCCCTTCCTCCATCTTCAAAGCCAGTGATGGACGATCGAGTCTCTCATGAGGCCATCTCTCTGGTTCTGATTCTGTCTTCCCCTTCCATTTTCTATGCCTTGTGATTACATTGGGACCACCCAAATAATCCAGGATAATCTTGCTATTTAAAAAAATTAATCACATCTGCGAAATCCCCTTTGCCACGTAAGTTGTTAGGTTACAGATTCTAGGCATTAGGATGTGAACGTCTTTGGGATGTCATTATGCTGCCAGCAACATCCTTTGTGAAAACAGCCAAACTAAATACTTCTACAGGCTGGATGGAGTCCATAGGCTGCCAGTTTATAATCCTCAATTTATTGATAGGCTAAGCTGTCATAGAGGTACATAAACAATATGATAGTCTTTCACTTGGAGAATGGTCAGGCTGGAGGAGGAAGATGAACACACAAAGCAATGGGGCATCATGTTCCAGATAGTGTACAGGGAACCCTGGCGCACAGGCTGATGTGATGCCGCCGATGGTGCCCTGTGTCCTACTAGATGCTTGGAAGTCTTAGATCTCAATTCTAGATGTGATCAATTCTTAGATCACGTTCTGATTGACTCATCTTATCTGAGAGGGAACTGAAGCCTTTGAGGGGGGAAGTGACAGACTGAGTTAGTGGTAGAACTGGGGTTAGGGTTCTGGGGTCTTAATGCCGCGGCTCAGTTCTCCTGCCCCCGTACAGGCTCATCCTGACCAACGCTCTTGCCTGACACACAGGGCTCTTCATTCTGTGACTCCACAGTATCGTCTACTGCCACCTTCTCACGTGACCCAAGGTGCCCATACCCTTGTCAGGTTACCCTCCTTGTTGCCCCAAGAATGTACACTCGTCATTCATCCGTTTGTTCATCATTCATTCGTGACTCATATATTGAGCACCTACCTTGCCAGGCTCTGAACCAGGCTCTGCAAACACGAGGGCAGATAAGACCCAATCCTGTCCTCCAGGGGCTTCTCGTCCAGTCCAGTGGTCCCTATGCTTGTTCTGTCGTGGCACTAATGATGCGTTGGTCAGCGCCCTGGCACACCCTCGCCTTCCTTCCCCTCTTAAAAGCAGAGCAGAAGGCCAGTGAGAAGTGGGCAAGAGCAATCTTATTCAAGAGAACACTGGAAAAACAGTTTCCTGTAACTTAAGAAAAGATTAAAGTACGTTATCTGCAAACTTACACGTAAGTGAATAGTAAATGACTTGGGTCGCGCTGCTATGACTTGCAGGTAGGAACAGCCCTTTGAGTGGTTCATGTGGCCCTGCTTGCTCGGGGCCTTTTTTAATTTAAGTGAATACTGAGGAGCTTCAACTAGTCTTTATCCCAAAGGGAAGAAATCAACTCAAGAAAGGAACCCCATACCCTTCTCAGGACGTAAATTGACACCTGATCGTTGACTTTGTGTGTTCTTTGAGTAGACACCAGCAGAGCCTAAAGGAACTGGCAGGGGTTGCCTGGAGAAGAGGGAGAGAGAAACTGACAGGAGCCATGGGTCTGAGGGGAGAGATTTTTTCTGTTGGTTCCAAGAGCATAGCATCAATGAGAGGAAGCTGCGAGAGGTATATTTCAGTCACATGACTCAGTCCCCAAAGCGACTGTGGTTGAAATAGCACTGAATTAGGAAACTCTTGGTGGCAAGGGGCAAAACCCTAGCACAAATGAGCTAGTCAGAGATACTAAGGAACTTAATAATGACTGAAACCAGTCACCCCTGGATTCCCATCACATGGCAGCCCCTGAGGGCCACATGGTTCGCATCCCAGGTCACACTCCGCAGCTTAGCCGCCGGCTTGGCTAACAGCAGCCTCCCTCGTAGTGGCCCCAGCACACTCCAGGCATCGGCTTTCCCAGAGCCAAACTCTGACCTGGACAGTGGTGCTGACCACTGAGCCTCACAGAGGAGTGGGGAAGGAGGGGGTAGGAGTTCCCCACTGAAACCTCAAAATTGAGGTTGAGGTGACCCCTCACCCCCAAGAAAAGCAGGCTGCTTAACTGCCTGACAAAGGGGAAATGGGGGATACACAGGTGGTAAGAGGAGGTACTTTCTGTCTCCAAGACGGGTCAGAATAAATGAAGCCCTTCGCTTGTTTCTCTTGATCCACACGAGGGCCGTAGAGCAGCCCTTCTTAAGATGCCCTACTGTTCTGTCTGGTTCCACCCAGCTGCATTCAGCACCAGACTGCCCAGCTTTAAGGCTCCCCCCGCTCCTTCTCAGCCCCTCCAGTGGATACTCTTACACAAAGCTGGAGAACTGGTCTGATGGGTGGAGCTGTGGAGGAGACAGGGCGAGTCTGGGTGGGGTAGGGGTAGGGGAACAGAGAACACGGGCCATTGCATTGCTCTGTCCCGTCACGTCAGGAAAACCCAAGTTTTCCCAAGTGGGAAGGTAGACCTTGCAAGACACTGAGCTCCCACGCCTGGAGGCTAGGCCGTGATCTTAGGAAGGAAGGACTCGGAGGTTTATAAACACCCTCGGTGCCCTGCGACCACATTTGAACTTTAGACAAGTCTACTTTGTGTGTCTCAAAGAGGCAGTTTCTCTTCTCACCTGCTATCAAGGGTGTGTTAATGATTTAAAGCTAAATTTTTTTATGATGAATTATGGTCTGGTACATCTGGGTCTGTTAAACAATTCACTATATGCGTCACACGTTGGATATAAGTTCCGGTTACTAAAAGAACACTGTGCCCAGATTTTCTTTCATACAGCTTGTAACAAACACCCAGATAGATCTCATATTGGGCCAAGTCTTTCCATGCAGACAGATAGGTCTCTACATCCCCTGGATGTTAGAACTCTAGGCTTCGTGCAGCTTAAGTTAGTCTGTAGAAACACTCGTGTTACAGGACTTCATACAGTCCACTGCGTGTGTCTTGAGGAAATTTCTCACCTGCTATCATTACGGGTGCTGCTGAGAATTCAGAGCTAGTTGCATCTGAATTATGGTCTCGCACATCTGGGACTCAAGCTTTAAGTGCCACATCTGATAGAGACGAGTAACAAACACCCCTGATAGAGGGGAAAAATAGTAAAAGGGCAAACACCAATAAACAAGTGAAAAAACCTGGCCAGCCTCCGCAAGTGATGGGAAGTAAAAATGATAGGAACCACCTTAGAAGCGAAACTGAAGCCCTTTTTGTCTTATCCATTGCTGAGATAAATAGTGGATTCACTACAAAGGATTCCAAGAGCAAAGTTAAAATTGTTGGAAGATACCTCCCAATATTTAATGAGGCACTTATCTCCTGGCCAATGTGTCTTGGAAGGCACACCAGGAAAGTCTATTTTATTTCTCTAAGTTAAAAGAGAGATGGGAGCTTTATTGCGACTTTTATCGTTTAATGCCCGAGGTGGTTACGTGAGAACACCTGCTTTAAAATATTCAAGACTGAAATGATTATGAGGACGAAACAGAAAACACTAGGGCCTCAGGATCTGTTGGGTAATGGAGAAGACCAAAGTCGCTCTGTCACCAAGCCCCTTTCCCACAGGAAGTTGGGAAGCCTTCATTCAGGTCTCATGAGGCCCTTCAGCTGCCATTAAGAGGGTGTCATCCCAACCCCCAGCTTGGCTGACTGCCAATGCGTATAGTTTTCTATTTCACCATCACAGTGTAGCTCTATTCCAAAGAATCATCAGTTGGATAAATAATTACCAAGGACTCAGTGGTGAGGAATACTGTTCTAGGAAGGTGATTTTTTTTTTTTTTTTTTTTTTTTTTTTGCCTTACCGGGCAGCTCGCGGGATCTTAGTTCCCCAACCAGGGATTAAACCCGAGCCCCTTTCAGTGGAAGCGTGGAGCCCTCACCACTGGACTGCCAGGGAAGTCCCGGGAATAGAACTCCTATTATAAGGAGGATTACCTAACGGCAACGTCCTCCCAACACTAAGCTTTATCCTTGGCCTGGTAGACCTTTGGAGAGTAGCCTCCCCGGACCACTGAGTTCTAACTTCCTACCCGGTTGTACTGAGCCCAGCCTTGGCATTCTGCCACGTGCTTCTCTGAGGGGCATCGCCACAAGCAGTGCCGAGAAACGTGTTGCTGCGCTCGTTATAGGTGGTTTCGGAGAAGCGATTCCTGACTCTTCCAGGGTTCCTCCTGCAGGAACTGGAAGTCCAGTATGCACTTTGATTTGCAGACACTCCCACCTCCACCCCCAGTCTCAGGCCTTGCAGGGAGGTGTAGAAGGTTTGGGGCCAGCCCTCACGCTTTGACCTTCCCTGGGATGACCGCCGAGCGGAGGAGCCCGGGGAGTCTGTGCGGCTGGTGGTCCTTTTGCCCGGGGAACCGACAGCCCTGACGCTGCAGGTGTCTGCAGGGCTTTCACTTGTGCCGCTGGAGTTTTATGGAGACTTGAGGGCTTTGACCTTATCACTTAGGGGCAGAGGCTGCACCCTGGGGTTAGGAGAATCTGGTCACTTTCACATAATTTGATATGTGCCCTTTAATCTCCAGTTCAAGGTACTGTTGGAAGCCTGTAAATTCCTGCCAGTACTTGAACTGCTGTTTGACACAGGCAATAATTGCATCATTTCACACTTTCAGCCCCAGTGTGAAACAGAACACTCAGCCCCATTAGTTATTGCATCAGCTCAGAGCAATCTGCTCTTCCAATCAATTAAACTCATCACTTGAACACTTGATGCCTGATTCTAATCGCACTTTAAATCCCCACCTGACAACCTATTTCACAATGAGCTCATTGGCTGAAGGAAATGCCTTCCCAAAACTTAATCAACCCTCACCTCCGGGGCCAACTGGCCTTTAAAGAGATTTTCCAGGGTCTCCTAGGAACACCCCTATTACGTGTCTCTTCTCCCCTCCCCCCAGGCAGAAACCCTTCTCAGGCATCCGTTCCAGGAATAGTCATGCGGCTCCCTAGTTAGTTTCTGTCCTAGGACGCTATGGATGATGAAACTAGTTCTGTTCACTGTATTCTTTTCCTTTATTTACTTTTGTTAAACCAGTATTGCATGCTCATTATAGGAAAAATTGGAATATACAGCTAAGCCAAATGAAGAATAATAAGTTATCTAAATTCCCACCACCCCAAAACTACCATAGCTACAATGTTGGCTACCTTCCCAGCCTTTTGTGTTTCCTGTTCGAATTGGCTGCTAGAAAGAGCCAGATACAAATCTCAATATGAATGAGAATTTAACATATAACAAAGAAGAAAAGATGTAATATATAATAGATAATGCTGGCTCTTCATTTGGAAGAAAATAAACAGACTCCTCCCTTATGCTCTATGGAAAAATCCATCTCAAATAGATTAAATATTTAAATGTAATAAAAACAATGAAGGGATTGTTTAAAAATCTGGTAGGCTACATATATACTCTAGGGATGGAAGAGACCTTTTTAAAACGAGAACCAGAAGCTATAAAGGAAAATATATGTGATTTATCTACATCAATAGGTAAGTGACAGTACATGTGTAATGCAAGTGACAAAACATATATAAAAATTTAAACATTTAAATTTGAGAAAAAGACAAGATGGGAGAAAGATGCTCAGAGGATACAGATGAACAATTTACTGAATAAATTCAAATGGCCAACAAGCCAACAAACATATGAGAAGTTGCCCAAATTCACTAGTTGTCACAGAAAGGCAAAGTAAAGTTAATAATAAAGCCATTTTATGCTTAAACTGGCAGAAAGAGCCATAGTACCATATGCCTGGCGAGGGTGAGGAGGACGTACTCTTGATACTTTGCTGATGAAATGTGATGTGCTAAAATCTTTGGGGAAAGAAAGTTGACAGCATCTATTAAAATTAAAAGTACATGTACCCCTTTACCCAGCAATCGCACACCCGCAAAGGTAGCCCCTAGAAATAAAAGCAGTAGCTTTGAGGATATGTGTCCAAGGAGGCTTACTGCAGCATCATTCAGAGGGAAGAAACAGGAAAAAAGAGAATGCCCATCGCCAGAGGAGTAGCTTAATAATTTACGATACATCTCCCACAAAGGAATATTTTTTTTCCTTCAATAAAAAAATGAGTTACAGTTAAACCAGATTATTTGGAGAGAATTCCCAAAGGTACTTTTGAGTAGGAAAAGATGGAAAAAGTGCATATAACATGATCCTATTTTTGAGGGGAAAATAAAAATGTGTGTGGGTGTGAGGGGGTTTATGTAAGTACAGAGAACAGTATGGAAGGATGTGTATTAGGTTGCAAAAATTGGTTACCTACCTCGGTTGAGGGAGGAGAAGGAGAGACAAAGCCAAGGTAACAAAACAAAACAAAAAAACTTCACTAGAAATAAGTCTATGCATATGATCATATGTATGCCTTTACATACAATTATATATGTTTTGGGGGGTTGATTTCATTATTTTTTAATTTTATTGGAATATAGTTGTCTTACAATGTTGTGTTAGTTTCAGGTGTACAACAAAGTGATTCAGTTTTACTTGTATTCATTCTTTATCAGATTCTTTTCTCATCTAGCTTATCACAGCATACTGAGTAGAGTTCTCTGTGCTATACAGTAGGTCTTTGCTGGTTATCTATCTTCTATACAGTAATGTGTGTATGTTAATCACAAGCTCCTGATTTATCCCTCCCCCTCATGTTTCCCCTTTGGTAACCATAAGTTTGTTTTCAATATCTGTAAGTCTGGTTGTTTTGTAAATAAGCTCATTTGTACCATTTTTAAAAATTAGATTCCACATATGAGACCATATGATATTTGTCTTTCTCTGACTGACCTCACTTAGGAGGATAATCTCTAGATCCATCCATGTTACTGCCAGTGACATTATTTTGTTCTTTGTTAATGGCTGAGTAATGGTCCCTTGTATATATGTACCACATCTTCTTTATCTATTTCTCTGCCCATGGACATTTAGCTTGTTTCCATGTCTTGGCTATTGTAAATAGTGCTGCCATGAATGCTGGGGTGCATGTATCTTTTCAAATTATGGTTTTCTCCAGATATATGCCCAGGAGTGGGGTTGCTGGATCATATGGTAGTTCTACTTTTAGTTTTTTAAAGACTCTCCCTACTGTTCTCCACAGTGATTGTACCAATTCACATTCCCACCCAGCAGTGTAGTTGTTTTCTCCACACCCTCTCCAGCATTTATTGTTTGTAGACTTTTTGATGATGGCATTCTGA